TTATAATAATAATAAATTAATATTTATTTATATACATAATGTAAAAAAAAAAAAAAAATGTTTTTTGCCTTCATCGCGTTGTCTGTTATTTATATATATATATATATATTTTTTTTAAATAAAATTATCAACTTTTTCGGTTTTTTTTCTTTTTTTCCTAATATTATTTATGGATGCGTTTAAAAAAAAAAAAAAAATTGTGTGTATTTGGCAAATTTAACAATTAAGAATAAATAATAAACATCCCCGGCAACATTAAATTAAATAATATAAATTATTTTTTTTTAGCTAGCGTAAATGATTAGTTTTTTTTTTTTTTTTTTTATAAACCGGAAACACAAAGCGTTGGGAAGTTTATTATGGAACCCTCTATTCTGTTTATATATATATTTTTTTTTTTTTTTTTTTAAATAAAATTAAAAAAAATAATATTCTTCGTTTTCCGCTTCGCTTGTACAAACTTCACGGTATATTTTCTCAATAAAGTCCACCCTGAAACGTACAAAAAAAAAAGAAAAGATTTTTAATTTTTAAAAGAAACCTTTTGTTTTCAATCGGTCTTAGTTTAAAAAAAATTATTATTATTATTTATTTACTTTGAATCCAAACCACCTCCTGGAGGCAAGTCTGGAATAGATTCATCTTTAATTGCATTTAATACGGCTCTGAAACTTTGCAAGTGTTGGCTGTTGACAAGATCTGTAAAGAGAAAAGAATTTGATTTTTAATTTTAAGTGTGTGTTTAAATTTCGGAATGAAAATAATTTATAAAAATTTAATCTCTCTCACTTTTAACTTTTTCCTCGAGTAAAATTTCCAACTCTCTCTCTTTTTGTACTGCTTCTTCTGATACTTTCGGTGCTCCTGAAAATGTTACTAAAACGATGCTCATGTTATCTCGACTTCCCTAAAATTACAAATGAACATTTATTAAAATTTTTTTTTTTCCAGGTAATCACTTAAAAGAAATTTGATTGTTTTTTTTTTTTTTTTTCGAATAGAACATTTAGTTAATTTTGAAAATTTTTACTCACTTTTCTCAAGCATGTATTTACAACTTGATTACAAATGTGTTGGAGGTCATCCGAAATAAGAAGTCGAGATCTTATAAAACTACAGACCCCTCTATTGCCCATTACGTCCCATATCCCATCACAAGCGAGAACAAGAAATTCATCCCTTTCTTCATACCTATCCAAAACATATATTTCAGGTTCTGGAGATACAAGTTGCTCACAGGGTCCTTTATTTTCAACGTTCTTGAATTCGAAATCCCCAAGCGCTCTAAAAGTAATGTTACCATATAATTAAAGCAAATTATGAAAAAAAATTGATAAATATTGTTAAAACTCTTTCAATACTGTCTGAAAAAAAGAATTGCAGGATTGAGCCCCTACCTGGATACAGCCAAAGAACCGTTTATACGTTGAAACATAACAGATCCTCCAGCTTTTTGTATTCGATCTCTCTCATTCGGTATGTATGGTTTGTGATCCTCTGATGAAAATTCTGGTTCACCACTTCGACAAAGTATAACTCTTGAATCTCCACAGTTTGCTATGTAAATCTAAAAATGCATATAAATTTTTGAGTAGGATCTCGTTATAAACAAAAAAACGCCTGGGTCAACTTACATCTTTTGAGTTTAATTGTAGTTTTAATCGTCGAATTTGTAAAAATTCAAAAAACTATTAGAGAGCACGTATGATTCTAACCTTTTCAGGTGATATTAAAGCACATACTGCTGTCGACCCAGATTTATCTTCTCCACTTGCTATTTTTGGTAACAATCTCATACTACTATCTAAAGAAAGAAATCCTGACCGTATTCCAGACACAAATTCAGATCTTTGAAATTCTTCTGCTTGTAGTATATATTCTAATAAATGTTCCGAACAATACTCTGATACCTTTGCACCATAATGGCCATCAAAAACAGCAAAAAATGACCAGTCTTTTAAAAAATCGGCTGAAAAAATTATTTAATATGTAAATTATGAAATTAAATTTTAACTTAAACCCCAAAAAGAAATTTATTAATTATATAAAATTTTTACCTCCTGGAAGACTAACTATCGCAGTGTGTGCATCTTCCATTTCTGGTCTCCATCCTTGCATGGATGAAACCCCATATCTTAACCCATTACCAGTGCCCCCCTCATTTTGCTTGTCAGTTTCGGGCTTATCCAAATAAGTCCCCATAGTATTTAACACCTGAAAACAAAATTTTTTTTTTTTTATTACTTTTTGTAAAACTTAAATTTATTGAGTTACAAAAAAACATTTTAATCAATGTAAACTTTATTTGGAATATGTAATAAACACTTGTAAATATTTATAAAATATATATTAAAAATAATTTATTTAAAAACAATTTGAGACTATAAGGTACAAACAACATTTAAACTGTACATTACACACATAAACTCAAATAATCGAAAAAAGATTTTATTTTTAAGAACTCACTTATTTAACATAAGAATATTTAACTTTAGCATTTTTCACAATTTATACACAAACTTTAGTGTAATTACAATCATATTACAAAGACAATTAATCAGTTAATTCTTTCATAAAACTAAAATCACAAAAATAATGTTAATCATTGAAACAATTTTGTATAAAATTAAATTATGGCACAAAGATACAAAAATTTTAAACTCAGCATTACTTTTAAATGTATAATGATGTTAATAATAGTAACTTAAAACTCTTTTATTAATTAATATATAATCATGTATAAGACAAATAAATTATTCAAGCCCTAAATAAAATAGATAAATACAACTGTGAAATACATAAATACAAACCTCAAAGATTAAAAAAAAAAAAAAAAAAAAACCTTTAAAATGGATAAATTTAATGTTGACACATAAAATAAAAAACAAGGTCAAATTTTTCTGTTTACTACCTCACAAATGAGCTGATGTCAGTTATTAAAATAATAATTTTCTTAAAGATACAATATAATGTTAATCACTTCAAATGTATTTGATTCATTTCTTTTTTGACAATAAAAGTAATAGTAATTGATTCATTTCAAAAATAAACATAATGAAATTTAATTTTTAATGGTAAACAAATATTTTTCAATTGTATTGAACATAAAAAAAAAACCTAATTGAATTAAAAAATTAACAAAATACATTAAGTTTTTTCCTTTTTTAAAATCACAACTTCAATTTCAAGCAACTTTTGTTTCCGTTTGTTTTTAATAAAAAAAAAAAATAATAATAATAATATGACCATTAACGGTTCTACATTTTTCCCTGGACCTTAGAACTAAATAAGACAAATTGAAATCAGATTGTTAAATAAGCTTAAAACAAGCATGTAATAATTATTAATAAAAAATGTAGGTATTAAATTAATAGAAATAATAAACGCACCCCTGAATTAAATGCACAACAATAAGTTATAAATAAAATAAAAAAAGTTGAGTGAATTTAACTTCTCCGCCTTCTATGACAAACTTAATCATTGCACTGAAAGTAATGAATATTAAAAAAATAATGAATGATTAAGATTTTATAAATATTTATTAAGTCATAAAAAAAATAATTTTAATCGAGTTACAAAGTTTATATTAAAAATTTTTTTAAAATTATCTTTTGTATAAAAAATTATTTTTGTTCAAAAATAAATTTAATTAAATATTTTATGTATCTCGGAGGCTTACAATTTTTTGTGTCGTATTGACCGCGTATACTAGCAACTTTTAAATTTTTGTTGGAATTCAGTATTAAATTTCTATTTTTGCTTTAACTTTGATTTAGAGTCATTTATTAACTGTATAAGAATATATTTTTTTTTTTAAAGTGCATATTATTAATAGTAATTTTCTTAAGTGAATTTCTCTGGTGCTGTGTGACATTCAAAAGTGGAATTTAAGTTTCGTTCGATTATGTTTTTTAAATGTAATTTAAATAAGTAAGTACTGATTTTTATATTTTTATTGAGTTGAATTTTGTAACAGATTCAAAATGTAGCTCCCTAAATCTTCATCTTGATTGGTCCATGATACATAAACGCATTTTCTATCATCTTCATCACCTTCAACCTTTATTAAAACTGTTTCAACTGATATAGAACTGTCTGTAAACTGAATTGAATAATTTTTTAATTTTTCTTTAACTATTTTAAGTAATTTTTCTGCTATTTTATTTGGCGGTCTCGGATCTTCCATGCGAACGGTAGATGTAAACCTAATAATATGTCTGGTCACTCCAGCTTCTTTACAGGCATCTTCAACATTCATTAAACATAATGAATGTTCCTTATTTACTAGAACTCCATGAAGGATCCTTGATTTACTTAAATTCGGTAGAAGAGCATTATAAGCTTGAGATTCACTTTTTAACAAGTTAAGAGAAATGTCAATTGGAATTTTATGGGGAATATCTATAGTACACGTTTCACCATTTGCTGGCATATAACAGTTAATATGAAATTCTTGCTTAATTTTATCTCGTAAAAATTCCATTTTAGCAGCTTCACCATGAACCAAAAGTACATTTTTTGGTTCGCAATACTGTATCAATTGCATAATGCCTTTTGCATCAGCATGTGCAGAAAAAGACATGTACTGAACTGACATTTTCACATCAACAATTTGCCTATTTTCAAATTCTATTTTTTTTTGGCCACTAAGAATTTTATGTCCTACCGTACCGGCGACACAAAACCCCGGCATTATGACCATATTGTTTTCGTTTGGTGCCCATTTCTTAAAAATTTGTAACGACAATCCAGCATGTAACATTCCAGGAGTTGCAAACACCACCATGGGCCATGCTTGATCTATGTAGGACCTATCAAAAGGTTTTATATGTTTAAAATCAAACATGTTGCGCTGAACGAAAGTTTTTCTAATTTTTTGATTGGTCCATGTAATAAACATTTTATAATAATTATTGGCTTTTTCAGTAAGACCAACTGCAAAATATATAGGAACTTTAAGGTTCATTCGTTCCCAATATGTTTCTAACAAAATGCATAGTTCTTGTGCTCTGCCAAGTGCAAATACAGGAATGAGAACTTTTCCACCTTTTTCAATGCACTCGTGAACTTTTTTCAAAAAATCTCTTTCTCTGCATCGTTTTGAATCTCTTATAGTTGTAGCATAGGTAGATTCAGTTATGAGCAAATCAGGTCTACATTTATCAATCCAAGCAGCACCTAAATGCCTATCTGGAGTCATGTTATAATCTCCTGTATAAACAACTGACAAATTTCCAACACGAATCCAAAACATAGCTGCTCCCAAAACATGACCTGCATAATAAGCTTTAATTTCTAACTGACTGTCAACCATGATAGATTGATGAAGTGTTACAGTAATAACTTTTTTCATGCAGTCTTTTATCATTTGAGATGTGAAAAAATTTACTTCTCCTTTTTTTTCGACAGAAATTTTTCTCATATCTTCTAAAAGTATAGGAGATATTGCTTTAGTAGGGTGAGTCATATATATAGGACCATTGTAGCCAACCATTTCAGTAAGATAAGGTAAAGCTCCGCAGTGGTCTAAATGAAAGTGGGATATAATAACGCAATCAATGAAATTTGTTATGGGGCCTTCTGGACTTATAAATGAAAAGTCTGGAAATCGTTTATCATCATTATACCCCATATGCATTCCACAATCTAACATTATATTCTTATTACCCATACTTAGAAGAATACAACTTCTGCCAACATCTTGTCCAGCTCCTAAAGGGGTAACTTTAATGTCATTAGCCATTTTTATTTTACTTTTTTGACTTTATAAATCTTGCTTTGAGAATATTTTTTAGAAAAAACTTAATTCTAAATAAAAACTATTTTGTCTGAAAAAAAAAAAAAAAAAAAATTAATGTTTATTAAAAACAACTGAAATTAATTCAATATATATTGTTAAATTTCAAACTCATTGTTAAAAAAATACATGATACATTTGTTGAAATTATTAATGGGTATAACCCAAACATGGCATAATTTTATTTAAATAATTATATTTTAGGAATTTAAAGTTAACAAGTATGTTAAATTATTATAATTATTTTCTTAACCTAACTTATTAAAATTCATGTAACTTTAAAGCAAATATAAATCTCACCTGCTGAATTCAAGTATTGTAGGCCAATAATTATTCAATGTGAATAATACAATAAAATTTTAACAGTAAATATTTTTAATAAACCTATTTTTATATCTTGATAGGAATTATCAAAAACTGACCTGGCAATATATTTACTGTTTAGATCGGCGTATTTAAAAATCTTTAACCAAAAAGATTTTGATGGTACTAATGTGTAAATAATAAGTTATGAGCCACATAACCTCAACTAAAATTATATAAACTGTTAATAAATAAATCAATAAGTTATTTTAAAAATATATAAAATAAATTGAATTAATTATTTACAGAATACAAGGCGTAAATTTTCAAAGTCCAAATTTCTAAAGCCGCCATATTTATTTATTTAAAGAATTTTTTAAATTTGAACTTCAATACTTTTATTTCTAACCTAGTAAAAAAAAATAATTTACATTTTGTTCATGTTAAAATTTTGCTTTTCTCATAATGAAAAATTATTTAATCTATTGATAAATTACGTTTACGATTTGAAGCTTTTACATAAGACAAGCATAGGAACAAATGTACGCCATGTTTGATTTTATAACGAAAAACGTTTTGATTCAATATATGTTGTAAAGATTACGGATAGTAAGAATGTGGAAAACAATTCAAAAATTTATTTCGAAAAATTTTACTTTTAGACAAGAGAATACGAAATAAAAAAGGGCTTTTAAAGTAATTTTGTAGTTTTATTTTTTGATTTCGGCTACAAAAAGCCGTTAAAAGAATTAAATATTAACAAGTAATAAAATTTGAATTTATTCGTTAAATAATTTATTAGGCTTTAATCTAAACAAGAGTTACGCTGCCACTCCCAGCGCCCGCCTAAAAAATTTATATTTAAGAATAGGAAAAATCTCGGAGGCATCGATGACTAGTCCTCATAGATGGATGCGTGATTCGATCTTTAGCAAATTTTACTTACATAAGTTAAACATGAGTAAATTTTTTTTTGTACGATTATCTAGGCCCGCGAATTCTTGGAAAGTCAACAAATTCTGTGAAGTGGTAGCTGGTAGGAATGATAATTACAGAGAGGTAAAGGAAAAAAAAATTTATTTTCGTTATTTTTTTTGTCAAACGTGTTTGAAAATCATTCTCGATCACATTATTCATATTGTTAAATAATATTGTAAAATTTTTTTTGTAATTCAATTTCAACGATTGCCTTGTTTTTTTTTTTTTTTTTTTTTTTTTGAAACGTTGAAAATGTATTAAATGAAGAATATGGTTTTCAATTTTAGGCTTGCCTTAAGTGAATCGATGTCTTGAAAAGAATAAAACGAGGTAGGGGTTCGTCTATGATTGCGTTTTTTTTTTTTTTTTTTTTTTTTTTTTTTTTTCCTTTCGGTTAGTTTTGGCTTTTAGGCCTTTGCGGGACAAGGTTACTAAACCCGTTCGTTTCAATTAATCAAAGGCTTTCAAACATTGCGATTTGTTGAAAAAATAGTTTGTATGTTATTTTAATTGTTTTTCAAGTGACAGTGAAATATAATAAAACCTCATTTTGTTTTATTTATTTATTTATTTATTAATTTATTTATTACACAACATGACAAATTATGCACTGTTAAATTAAAAATGAATTAAAGTATTATTAATTTATTAATAAAAAAACAATAAAAAAACTAGATACACTTGTTGCCTCCTAAAATTTTATAGTATTTTTTTTTTTTTTTTTTTTTTTTTACTAATAAAGTAATAAATTGATATTTTGCAACATTAGGTATTATTTTAAAAAAAAAAAAAAAATAATAATGGATAGGCTTCAATATAATTACTATAATGGAACAAACTACTACTACCCAAGATATGATACTGCCGAGGGATATTACAGAACAAATATACCTGGTAAATAAAAATATTTTGTGACACGAGTAAAAATTTTTTTTTAAAAATATTATTTGCTAATTTTTTTTTTTTTTTTTTAATTAGAATTATTATTTATAATAAGTTTTATTTTGTAATTTTGAAAAAGCTTTTTATTATCAAATTTTTTTTGTTTTTGTATTAAGAGATTAAGATTTTAATTAATCAGTTGTTGATTATTCGACAAACGAAATTATGTTTTTTATATATATAATATGACATAATTAATTCGTTTATCGAAAAAAAACTCAATTTCAAAATAAAGTTGGGGAAATTTGACATTTATCATGTCGGTACACAATTTTTTAACATTATTAGAATTTTTTTTTTTTTTTATTTAAAAGAATCGACAAACTCGTTTTCATTATTATTTAGTAGATTTACATATTAGACTATAGAGTAGAGACGAATAGAAATGTTTTAAAAAAAGTTTTTTTTTTTTTTTTTTTTTTGGGTTGAAATTTAGTGATTGATAGAAAGTTATTAAAAACAAATAATTTTAATTTGCTTTAAAAAATTGGGTAGTAGTGGTAGTAGGTCTTTAGTATCCATCTATTTTTTTATTTTATTTATCTATCTATGCACAAAGTAAAATAACATAAAATAAAGAATATGTTAGAGAAAAAGAAAAAGAAATCACAGAACTAAACAAAAAAAATTAAATTAATTTAAAAATAATGTTGATAAATTTTAATTACTGACAATAATGGGTTTAAAGCAATGATACTATTTATTTAAAAATAATTTTATTCTAAATTCAAATTAATTTTTTTATTGTTAATACATTTTAATTAATTTCATCGCTCAAATATCAGTTTTTTGTTTTTTTGTTTTTTTTTTTTTTTTTTTTTTTTTTTTTTTTTTTAAGAGAATGTCAGTGATGATAGTTTAATGTTTTTTTTTTCTTTTATTTTTTTTACTGATAATTTTAAATTTTAACAAAATTACAACATTAATATTTTGCTTTAGCCAAATTTGTACAAAAAAAAATTTTACTTTATTGAATTCAAAGTTACTGTTGAGCTGTATATAAAATACATCATCCCTCCTTTTGGAATACTTAAATTACAGTCACTCAATTTTTTTTTTTTTTTTTTTAATTAATTAATTAATAATAATAATAATAATAATAATAATAATTAATTTTTTAATTTTGCGAATTATAGAGCATTAAAAACAAAACAAAATTTCGTAAATCGTAAAATTTTTTTTGCTTTTTTTTTTTTTTTTTTTTTAAAAAAATTAAAATTAAAAAAAAAAAAAATACAAAAATGAACGAAATTTGTTAGGTTGTTATTATTATTATTACTATGAAATTTACACGTTTTTTATTTTTATCTCCGTTATTAATGTAAATTTTATTAAAAATAAATTTGAGTTCAAGTTTATGGAAGAGCAGAGAACAAAAAAAAAAAAAAAAAAAAAAAAAAAATTAGAAATCGATTTTGCTGGTGAACGCCCATTTACAAAAAAAAAAAAAAAAACAGGTTTGACCGGGGTTAACAAAGATAAAACATTTTTATTTTTAACTTTTTTTTTATTTTATGTAGCCGTAAAAAAATTTAACGCAATTATTATTATTATTATTATTATTATTATTATTATTATTATTATTATTTGTAATAATTAAAGCAACATTGAACTTGCAAAAAAAAAATTAATTAATTAATTAACTTTTTTATTAAAAATGTTTTATTTTTTTATATTAATTATTATGAGAGAGGCTTTGTTGTTGTTGTTGTTGTTAATAATTAATTATATAACGAGCAAGTATTAAATTTCGCTTATTTTTTTTTTAACGTAAATATTTGTATTTGGTAATTATTTGGGGGTCTGTAGGTTTTCTGTAAATTTTTGGGTAGTACTCATTTTTTTTTTTTTGTTACCTAAAAAAAACAATCATTAAATCAAAATCCTCTTTAAATTATTAATTTACAAAAATAAAATTCATTTCATTGTTTTTGCAAATTAAATAACTTGGGGAGAAAAAAAAATTAGTATCGGTCAAAATATATAAAAAAATTTATGAGGGAGTGAGGGGGGTTTAAATTATTAGGGAATGAAAGAATATTTTGGCTTTTTTTTCTGTTTCCCCCCCCCCCCCCACCACAAATTACGACAAATTTTATTTAAATCTTTTTTTATATTTGTTTTTATTTAAAATTTCCCTTTGCAATTTTTTTTTTTTTTGTATATAATTAATAAAGGGAGTTATCGTGTAAGGGAGGAAGAATTTTTTTTTTTCCAATTTTTTTTTTTTTTTTTAACGACGAAGTGGGAAAATTCGAAATTTAAAAAAAAAAAAAAATAATAATATTTTTTATGTTTATAATCGTGATATCATGGATTTTATAATAATGAAAATTTGTAATTTGTTTTTTTTACAACCCGATATACGTAATTACCTTTATCAAATTATTTTTTAGTTTTTCGGTAAAAAAAAAAAAAAAAAGGGGGAAAAAACGTATAAAAAAAATTCGTGGAAAGACCGCCCTCGACCAACCAGACGTAGTACAGGGTGGGAATAAGAACTTGGGTTTTATGTGCATGCACACGCAAAATAATTAAAATGGGATGCTCTTGTTGCATGTCGATTGTTAAATTATCCGCCTTTTAAAAAAAGAAGGAAAAAGGGGGGGGAAAAAAATGTAGTTTTGAAAATTTAGGTAATGGATACTTGGAGACAGTTATCCAAAACGTGACAGCAAAAAAAATTTGCCCGAAAACCATTTTTTTTTTTTTTTTTTTTTTTTTGCTACCAAAAAGAAATCTGACTGATTGTCAGGGGTAGAGAGTAGTAAAGTTCTTGCAAATCTATTTTTTTTTTTTTTTTTTTTTGCAGGATAAGGGGCGTATAAACGTTTTTCATAACTTTGTATGGGGAGGGAAGGGGAGGGGGGGGGAGGAGGATAAAAATTCAAATGAGAATCACATGTACGATACGGTTTATAAAAAAATTTTTTTATTTTTTTTTATTTCTTGAAAAAAAAAAAAAAAAAAGAAAAAAAAAATTAGGTTGTTACGTAAAAGACAAACGAACGAGTTTATTAACTGATTCTGAGAAACCCTCCCCCCTTTTTTTCTTTTTTTTTTTTTTGTTCATATTAATTTTTTGTCGGGTTCTACGGAGCTGAAAATTAACTGAAAATGATTTTTACGTCATGTTCGGTAAATTCTGTCTCTCAAAAAGGAAAAAAGAAAAAAAAAAAAAAAATTTTTTCTTCTTCGAGTTTTTTTTGTTTTTTATTGACGTTTTATTACAGTTAACAAAAAAATATCAAGCGGCTTATTTTCGATCACTGAGTTTTTAATTTATTATTTTATTTTATTTATTTTTTGTTTATAAAAAATATGACAAAATGTCGTTAGAATTGATGACGTCAGAAATGTATCTTTGGATTGTGGTGACACTTTGGCCTGTTGTCAACCAATCGTTTACAGGTTTTGAAAATGAGCAAATTAAGGGTAGAATTTAGTTTAGGTTTTTTTTTTTTTTTTTTTAAAAAGAGTTTATCCGAAAGGTTTCTTTGTCGAAGAAAAGAAAAAAAGAAGACAAAAGTCAAAGTTTAATAACAAGGAAATCGGAGTTGATGTGTCACATTTCTAACTGTGTCACGTTTCATTAGATCGGGGAATGCACGATTGAGACATTTGAGCACTTATTGTTTTGTCCTTGCCCGTGTGACAAAACATACCATGTTTTTTTTTTTTTTTCTCCTGTCGTCTTTTTTTTAAAAAAAAAAAGGGAAAAAAGGAAAGAAAACAATTCCTCGGGAGGGAACTCATGACGCTGTACGAAATGAAAACAAATGAATAAAATTAATTAAAATGCCCCTAACATGTTAAAATAAAAGAATTCAATGATGAGTACCTTAAGGCCGCCAAGGTTTTAATAAGGTACCGATTTTTGTTTTTGACAAATTTTACGGTACCACAAAAAAAAAAAAAAAATGAGGAGGGAAAGGGCAAAACGGCCAATCAATTAAATTAAATAAATTTAAAAAAAAATTAATTGGAATTGATCAAATGATTGTTATATTTAATAATAATAATAATTGTTATTGTTTAAAATAAATAATTTTTGATGAATTCAAAGGTTTTCCGTATTTAAAATTTTTTAGTTAATTATTACAGGTTTTTTTGGAGTTATTATAAAGTCAATTTTTTTTTTTTTTTTGGTTTAACAGCTCCACAAGAAGAGATGTCACTTTGGACAAAATCTCAGCAATTGACCGGTGATGCACTTCAACAAGTACGATCACTCTATGGAGAACATTTTCCAATCGAAGTCCGGCATTTTCTTGCCGGTTGGCTGGAGGCTAAAATGTGGTTTGTTTTGAATTCATATTTCTTAAAATAATATTGGAAAATTAATTTCAGATTGAAATTCGAATCGAAAATTACACAATTGATAATTTTTTAATATGTCAAAAGTTTTTTTTTTTTTTTTTTTTGGTTTTTTGGATTTCTTAGAATCTTAATAATTCTGAGAGAAATGCGCAAATGTTAAAAATTTTTTAATTTTATAAATAAATAAGTAGTAACCTTTCGATCGATAAATCAATTTAAAAAAAAAAGAAAAATTCCATGGAATTTTTTATAATTAAATGTTACATCTAAAACGGAATTAATTTATTTTTACTATTCATAAATAGGTAAAATAAAAGAAATGTTTAAAAACTTTTTTTTTTTTTTTATTTTATATTATATTAGAAAGAAATTTTTTTTTTTTTTGTTGTAATGCAACGTATTTTTCTTTGTTCACGATGTGGAAAAAAAAAAAAAAAAAAAAAAAAACCTGTGAAAGTTGAGAGCCTTAAGACGTGAGGCGCCCATCGATAACGCGGACATTGCATGACTCCTCCGCTCTTAACATGCCATCGTAGCATGATAATTCCTGGAAGAGCAATTTTGTTTTTTTTGTGTTGTGTTCAATTTTTATTAAGTAGGGAAAAAAATTAATTTTTGTTGTTAAATTCACCTTTTCGTTTGTTTGTTTGTTTGTTTGTTGTAAAAGGAACGAAGTGGATCCGGACAACCCTCAACACGACCAATACGTATCCGGTCTTGTCAACGCACTAATTAACGAATTGGAAATGAAGGCAAACACTCTAACGTCCGAAGATATGTTTTTGACTAAATTGAAACTCATCGAAACTGCTTCTAACTTCAGGGTTAGTTTTGTCATATATATATCATTTCTTTCGAAAAAAAAGTTTTTTAATAAATATTTTGTTTTACTTGTCAAATAATATCAACCCCCCCCCCTTTTTTTTTTTTTGTTTTTTCTTAGACAAGGTACAGTCAAAATCCTCACAGTTTACTCAGACTAATTCGTCATTGTTTGGATAAAGAAATGAAATTGGTGCAACAAAGCGAGGTAGATTTTTTAAATATTTTGACATTTTATCCGAGTAATTAATTGTTATTATTATTATTATTTTAAATGAAAAATTTTGAAATTTTCAGAGTGGAGTAGCTGGTAACATGAACATGTCAGCTATGCCTGACGTAATGTCTGAATTAGCTCAACAATTGGAGTTTTTGAGAAGACGAACTCACGATACGGCTGAAGATCTCAGGAAAATGGAACAGGATCAGGAAGCATTCGCTCTTCATTATCACGAATGCACAAAAATAAATGGTAATTTTTTTTTTTTTTTTTGGATTTGGAAAAATTATTTCGATTTTGAAAAAAAATAAAAAATAAAAAACTAATTTTGTATCCGTTTGTGTCCAGCGCATCTTCAACATCTTCAAACCCAAGGACAAAATCCACAGAATATCGAATTGGAAAAAAAATTAAAAAGACAAAAGGATAACATGGAACAAATGCTCAATCAAAAAGTTAGCGCCATGGTTCAGTTGAGAATGTCTTTGGTCGATAAACTGAAAGAAACCATTTCACACTTGACAGCATTGCAAAGTCGAATACTCGATAGTGAATTAATTAGATGGAAAAGAGAACAACAACTTGCTGGAAACGGAGCTCATTTTAACAGTAATTTAGACAGCATACAAGAATGGTAAATTTTACATTTAAAGATGTGTAAATTTTTACTTTTACGATTCATATTTTAATTTAGACATTTTTATTTAAGGTGTGAGAACTTGGCTGAAATAATTTGGCTCAACAGACAGCAAATCAAAGAAGCAGAAAGGCTCAAACAAAAATTATCTCTTGATCCACCTGGTTTAGTCGATGTTTTACCGAACCTTAATAATTTGGTGACTCAACTCCTTTCCACACTGGTAACCAGGTGAATATTTTCCCTTTGAAAAGTCATTTCCTTTTAATTTTATTTTTTTTTTTAACAAGCACAATTTTTTTTTTAGCACGTTTATAATTGAAAAACAACCACCTCAAGTTATGAAAACCAATACTCGATTTACTTCCACCGTAAGACTCCTCGTCGGTGGCAAACTTAACGTTCATATGACTCCTCCTCAAGTCAAAGTCACAATTATAAGTGAAGCTCAGGCCAACGTATTGCTTAAAAATGACAAAATGGTTAAAAATGAAGCGAGCGGAGAAATTTTAAACAACACGGGAACCATGGAATACCATCAAGCTACCCGACAACTTTCTGTCTCGTTCAGGTACGATTTAATTTTTTTTTTTTTTTTTTTAATGTTAATTATGGTTAAATTTTTTTTTTTTTTTTTTTTTTTTGGTTTCTTTTAGAAATATGCAACTTAAAAAAATTAAAAGGGCAGAAAAAAAAGGAACAGAATCTGTCATGGACGAAAAGTTTTCTTTGTTCTTCCAATCTCAATTCTCAGTTGGTGGTGGAGAATTAGTATTTCAGGTTTGGACTTTATCATTGCCTGTTGTTGTCATCGTTCACGGCAATCAAGAACCTCACGCGTGGGCCACGGTCACATGGGATAACGCTTTTGCAGAACCTGGAAGAGTGCCATTTGCCGTTCCAGACAAAGTTCCCTGGTCTCAGGTTGCCGAAGCGCTTAACGTGAAATTTAAAGCGGCCACTGGAAGGAGTTTAACCGAGGATAATTTGAAATTTTTGGGAGAAAAAGCTTTTAGGTTATTATTATGTTTAAAAATTAGTGGTTTTGAGTAACGTATAAATGTTAAAAGAAATAATGTTTGTTTATTTATTTTTATAGGAGTACTCAGCCTGGAGACTACGGACCTTTGCTGTTGTCGTGGTCACAATTTTGCAAAGAACCTTTGCCAGAAAGAAATTTTACATTTTGGGAATGGTTTTACGCCGTTATGAAATTAACAAGAGAACATTTGCGTGGTCCTTGGATCGACGGTGCCATTATCGGATTTATACGGAAAAAGCAAGCAGAAGAAATGTTGATGGCCTGTCCCCAGGGCACGTTTTTACTACGATTTTCAGATTCCGAACTTGGTGGGGTAACCATCGCTTGCGTTGGCACAGGACCAGGAGGCAAGGATATAAATTTCAATTTTAGTAAATTATTTCATCTTCCTCGTTTTTTTAAAATAAATTTTTTATTTTTATAAGTAATTCATTGTTTTTACCGCAGAACAAAAAGAAATATACATGCTTCAACCATTTACGAGCAAAGACTTTGCGATTCGTAGTTTGGCCGACCGAATCTCTGATCTTTCTCAATTCGTCTACCTTTATCCCGATATACGAAAAGATGTGGCATTCAGTAAATATTACACTCCGTTCACAGGTACGTTTTAACATCCTCATCTTTAATTCGAAAATTGTTTTTTGAAAATTTTTTATTGCAATATTTTATTTTATTTTTTTTTCCCCATCAGAAAACCAACCAAATTTAATAAACGGATATGTTAAGCCGTTACTCGTTACTCACGTACCAGGATGGGGCCCGTCCCTAGGTTGTAATCCAGGAACTCCACAAACAATGTTTCAACCGCAGTCGCCGGACACGAGGGATACTCCATCGGTTGCGGGCTCCGTTAATAGGTGAGCTCATTTATGCTCCTAAGCAAAGACAAAAAAAAAAAAAAAGGAAAACTCCTCTTTTTTTTTTTTTTTTTAAGCATGATCTCGAAAAAAAAAAAAAATTGCTTTTTTTTAATTTTAAAAAAAAAAAAAAAAAAAAAAGAAAAAAAAAAGAAATAATTTTTCGTGTTGCATTCCCCGGGGAAAAAAAAATAATATATATATATATATATATTTATATATGTAGAGACACATATATAAATATATACATGCATAATAATAATAATAATAATAATAATAATAATAACAACGTCCCTTGAAAACAAAATGATTACAATTTAAAGAGCTAAATACGAATTAAAAATTATATATATTTTAACTTAAAGCTTAAAGAATTTCATTAAATTTAGGGGGGAAATTTTTTTTTTTTTTTTTTTTTTTTTTTTTTACACGTGTCGATGTTTCTATGTTTCGATCTATCCAAAAAATTCTTCATCTTCTTCTTCTTCCAAAGGGGTGGAAAATAATTCGGTTATATTTTTTAAAAAAAAAAAGTATACGGTAAACGTTTTTATTGGTCAATTATATAAACGAATTAAAAATTTGATATTATTATAAGTCTCAACCAGGGTATATTTATAAAGAGCTTAAAAAATTTCATGTCGTGTTCTCGATTGTTCTTTTTCTTCGTTGTTGTCAAAAAAAAAAAAAAAAAAAAAAGCTTTTATTTTTTGTGTGCAAAATGATAAATTTATTCTTTTTTTTTTTCCTTGTTATACGATAAGCCCGACGTGTTTAAAACGATATATACATATGTGTGAGTGTGTGGGTGGGTGCGTGCGTGAGTGCGTGGGTGGGTGTAAATTTTATCCCGGTGTTACGCTAAAGACAGAATATTTGTATTATTGTCGAATTGTTGTGCAAGTAATAATAATAATTAAATGTATTTTAAACGGTGCTTGAATTTTATTCACGTTATTAACGTTGTTACTGATAAGGATAGTGATAAGGGGTGCGTGCGCGTTATGGGGGGGGGAAAAAGCTCGGAATGAGTTGTGTGATCATTTTGTTTTTAATTTTTTTAATTTTTTTTTTTTTTTTTTTACCATTTTTAGTATTAATTTTATTACCCATATATATTATTAATATTAATATTATTATTATTATTATTATTATTATTATTATTATTATTATTATTATTATTATTATTATTATTATTATTACACTTTAACCGCCACTTTTAATGACACGTTAATTAATTAATGTTCCTTTTCTTTTTTTTTTTTTTAAATTTTTTTGTTTTTGAATTGTTTTAAAAAGTGCGAATGATGACGATGATGATGATGATGATGATGAGTCTACGTTTTTTGCGTGTGTGTGTGCGTGCAATATGCGTGTGTTATTGTTTGTTTGTTTTTTATTAAATTTACGATTTCGATTTATTAATAATTTCGAAAAATTAATTAAGGTACGATAATAGTAGGTTGTTATAATTTTTTAAAATTATTTTTTTTCTTTTCTATATCTCTCTTAAGTTTCCCCTCCCCCCCCTCAAAAAAAAAAAATTTTTTTTTTCTCATTTTCATATTCTCAAAATATAAGTTCCTGTTAGAAAAAATAATAATAATAATAATAATATTAATTGTCGTTTTTTTAGTGTAAATTGACGATTTGATTTTTATTTAGACTTTGGTAAGGTCATCATCATCATCATCATCATCATCATCGTCATATTTTTTCTTATTTTTTTTTCGTAATGACGGTTTCCGTTTTGGGGGAAGTCCCCCCCCCCACCGACACGTTGTCTTTCGTAAAAAAAAAAATTATTTTTCATTCTCTTTCCCCAATAATAATTTGTTTGTTTAACATAAGTTGTCGTGTGAGGAGGAGTCGTTGGTGGTTTAATTTGACGAGAAATTACCATTTCCTAGTCCTTTTTATTATTAGGGTTCCACCGAATTAAGAGGAATACTATTATTAGGCAGGCACTAACCGAAATTAACTTTTAAATTTTATTTTTTATTTTAATTCGAATACATTTACACGATAACATTTTGTTTTTAACGGTTTTTTTTTTTTCGAATCGAATTTAAAATGGAAAAAAAAAAAAAAAGAAAAACAGGGTATCATAATAATATTTGAATTAAAATATTGTTGATTTCTCTCTCTCTCTCTCTCTTTCTCTCATACATTTTCTCTCTCTTTTCCTACCACTCACATTCAGGTTTTCATTTTTTTATCTACATAAATTCATAGTTTGAATAACGTTTTAATATTTTAGGGGTAGAAATAAATTGACGAAACGAATTAAATCCGACTGATAGATTTTTTTTACATTAAATTTTTATACGGAAAATAATTTTTTTTAGGGAATACTGGGGGGGGGGGTGTGGAAAATTTCTTTAACGAATTTATTTTTTTATACGTAAATATCGCAACGATGAAAAAATTGATATATATTTTATTAGAATATATTTATTTATTCGACTATAGAAAAATATTAAATGATGTTTCGATTTTGAGATGAGGGGGAGAGAGAGAGAGAGAGGTAGAGATAGGAGATGAATTTAAGATTTACACTTTCACTTTCACTTTCACTTTGAGAAAAAGAAAATTGTTTTTCATTTTCAAATTATTTCACACTTAAATTAATAAAAAAAATGTTTTTTTTTTTTTTTTTTTTTTATCGTGACTGACATGTTACCTATAATTTTTAATAAGTATATAATATATATAGTGTTAGTAGAACGATAGTATATCGATATATATTATATATATTTTTTTTACGTAATTCCGAATTATTATTATTAACACATTAATTTTTTTTTTTTTTTTTTTTTGTAAGACTTATTATTATTATTTCGGGGACCAAACAAAATACATAACGATAATAATAATAATTGTTTGAACCACCCCCCTGTGGCGAGGAGGGGGGAGGTGTATTAAAACAGAGGGGGAAAAAAATTTTTTTAAACGTGAAATTTATATAAATTTAAAGTTTAATTAATAATAATAATAATAATAATAATGTTTAAACAATTGTTTATCATTTTTATTATGATATTTGTTACCCGTCGTTTACAAAAAAAAAAAAAAAAATATAAATTGTTATTTAAAAAAAATAATATAAATTGTTTTATAGATTAATGTCGAGTCAATTTTTCTCAATGTTTATAAATATATATATATATATTTATAAATAATGTTATTAATTTATATACTATAATAATATATATATATATATATATATATATATATATATATATAAATAATAATGTGTGTGCGAAAATTTACGGTTGTTTATTGTACATTACAAAATACGATTAACTTTTGTATTAATTTTTTTTTTTTTTTTTTCATTTTACTTTACTTTACTTTATTACTACTACTACTACTATTATTATTATTATTATTATTGTTTTATTCCTTTGTATAATTTATGTAAGTTTTATTTATTTTTTTTTATTTTTTTTTTTTTTGTGTGTGCAATATTTTATTTAATGGACTCTTTTTTTTTTTTTTTTCCTATGCAGTATTTCAGTATTTTGACTTTGTCCTTTTTTTTTTTTTTTTTTTTATTGTTTTCTATAAACAATAATAATAATAATAATAATAATAATAATGATTTTTTACCGTTTTTTTTTTTTTGTTTGTGTAAAATTTTAATTGTTTATTCGTTTTTTTTTTTGTTTTGTTTTTTAACTTATGACTTTTCATCTCACCGTTCATTTTTATTTTTTTTTAAATTTATTTTATTGATATTGGAAAATAATATTACTTCTATTGAATATAATTTGTTACCTTATATATATATTTATATATATATTTGCATGCAAAATTTATTTTGTCCTTTTAAAAAAAAAATTTTGGTTTTATACCGTGAGAAAGAAAAAAAATAAATTGACATTTTTGTTGTTGTTGGTGGGGTTGGACGGGTTCATAACATTAAAATTGGGGCGATATTATCAAGCCTTGATGCTGTGAGATAGTATGCACGATATTCGCTTTGTAGTCAACAGAGCAAACAAACCCTTTTTATAATTTGAATGAGCTATCCAGCAGCATCTGGGTTAATGCTTCTGTTGACTTGGTTTTTTTTTTTTTTTTTTTTTTTTTAATACATATTAAATTCTTCATTTGAATTAACTATATGCATATATATATTTAACAAACTTTTTCCTTCATATTGATAAACTTTTCGATTTATATGTAATAATAATTTTTTTTTATGTTACACGAAAAGTTTATCAAAATGATGTGATGGGGTGCTTGGCAAAAAAAAAAAAAAAAAAACAAAAAAAACAAAGCGTAATCGTGCCTGACTTTTTCACAGCTATCTGCAAATGGCCGACGTAGATTTTGACTTCACCGCACAATCTGAGATGCAATCAAATGATGAAAACTTCGAAATCAACAACAGTTTCCCAGGATTTTCCCTCCAGGATTTCATGTCGGATTACAAACCGTGAATTAATAATTCTTCAGGTATTTCCTTATTTCCGTTTTTTTTTTTTTTTTTTTTATTTGATTGCTTCCAACTTCACATTAGGAACAAACTCATAAATTACATAATTTCCTAAATGGGCTGAAATGGTAAAAAAAAAAAAACATGAAAGAAAAAAATAATAATAATAATAAAAATAGTTGGTGTCTTTCTACTTAACGGTACAAACAATTTCTCTACAATATTTTATTAGATCTCAATCTTCATATTTAATTTTCTTATTGTTTTACATTAGACATTGTTATTATTTTAATAATAATAATCAAAAACATTTGACCAACGGTTAATGCCCAAATGTTCAATGTGCCTTTTCATCATTGAAACGTATAAAATTACACCATAAATATTTTTTAATGAAATCTTCTTTTTTTCTTCGTTTTTCTCTTTTATAATTTTTAGTTATCTGTAAAACAAAAAAAATGAAAATGTAATCTTCCAGAGAAATTTTTTTTAATTCTAGAATTATTCTAAACACGGTTTATAAATTAATAAATTTTGTCATAATCACTAAGGTAAGTTAGAACAATAAATGTTTTATTTACATAGATGAGGTAGCTGTTTTAGTTTTATACATAATATATTTTCTTGATAGAATTTAAATATATAAAAAAAAAACTTACCTCTTTTGACAAAAAGCAATCGTTAAATATATATATATATATATATATAATTAAGAAAATTTTTTATGTAGAAAATTGTTAAAGCGTTTGTTCGTTCTTCGTACTAGTAATTTTGAAAATTTAATCTACTTTTGTTGTTTGTTTGATTATTTAAATTGTAAATTTAAATTAATTATATTAAAAAGTTATGTAACAGGTAACAAAATCGCACGTAGACGTCACTTAAAAACTCTTATTAAAATTGTAACAATAATTTAAATTCATACACACTTAGCCGTTAACGTATTATTGCACATTTTACGCCATTTTTATTTGTCGCCAAATTTTTTTTCTGTGACGACACAATTAACGAATTTGATTCGGTTTCAGTAAAAAAAAAAAAAAAAAAAAAATTTATGAGGACGATTTGTTTTTGTGTAATTAAAAACAGGTCATTAAGTTAATCGTTAAAAAATAAAATTAAAAAAAAAACATTTTGTTTTTTTTTTTGTTTTTTTTTTTTGATATTTATCTTTATTTTATATTTTAAATTTTATTACAATTGTTTTTGATGACGTAATGAGATTTCTTTTCAAAGGGTCGCAAAAAGCAAAACGTCGACAACAGAGCAATCGGATAGTTAAATTTTTCGTTTGTTATCTTTTGCAATGTCAGAATAAAAAAAATTTAGATTACTTAGCGAATTTTCTTAAAAAGTATTTTTTTTTTTTTCTTATTTTTTATAAATGTTTTCGGAGTTTATCATCCTGCATTTTTAAAGAGTGGGTATTTTTTTTATTTTTTATTTTTTCATAGTCGAATGTTATGAACCTAACGTCCGCCATTTTGGTTTTTAGCGCGTCTTTCATTTTGTCCGTTGTGAGATAATCTGAATTTCGTTGTTACAATTTGAAAAGTTTTTTTTTTTTTTTTTTTGGAGAATAATTAAGAGTTTAGGTTTTGTTTGGTACCTGACGGATGAAATACAACTCCGAGAAGTGGTAATATATATAAATATTTTAAATATTGTACAATCTTCAAATTTCTTTTACAAAAAAAAAAAAATCGGTAAGAAAAATCAATACCTAATACTTTTTAAAAAAAAAAAAAAAAAGACAAAAAGTTTGATGGAGGCCTTTAAGAGTGCTATGAAATTTAATTAATCATATATAATAATTTTAATTGTAGATAAACACATTGTGTTTGTAATGAGTCCATCCAATAAAAAAAAAAAAAAAAAAGCTGCTTGTGTAAATTTATGTTTTGCTTAAATTAACAATTGATTAAAAAAAATTAATTTGGTAAATTTGGGGAAACGTTGAAAATGTTGAAAATGTTTTATTATTTGTTGAATGTAACTTTGAAAAATTATTGAATTTATTTATGGGTTTTATTATTACAAAACACAAATAAGTATTATTATTATTATTATTATTATTTTGGAGGTTTGTGGTTTTTTTTTATTTTTATTTTTTTATAATCTTATGTTGATCTTGTAAATATAAATGATTTTTGTATGTTTAAATGTTTTCTAAATAAATTTCAGAACTTATTTAATAAGAACTGTGTCTTCAATAATATTATTAATCTTCAAATGAAAACCGCCATTAATATATATATATAATGAATGTGCCAAACGATTATGTTTAATGTGTTTGTTAAACATTTGTGTTGAAAATTATCTGTGATTGATGTTGGTAATATAATAAATATACGTTTCTCCAAAAAATCATATATATATATATATATATATATATATATATTGAATTTTTCTTCTCAAATATTTATAAGTTCTTAAGGTGCTTAAGTTCAATTTAAATCAAAAGAAAAGAAAAGAAAAAAAAATTATTTTTTAATTAATTTATTAAATTTGGTAAATGAGAAAATTTATAAGCATAAATATTTAATAAAAATCGTCAATTATTATTATTATTATTATTATTATTAATTTTTTTTTTTTTAGTAGAAAGTGCAATTAATAGTTTTTATATCGTGTTAAATTTTTTTTTATAATGTATTTTATTTTTGTCTAAGAAAAAAAAAAGAGAGAGAAGAGAAATTCAATTTTAGAAAACATTTAAACAATTGGTTGGACATTAATAATTTAATTTTTTTTTTGTTTTTTTTTTACAATACTATTATCATTATTATTATTATTATTTTTAATCTGTTATAGTGTATACATGTTAATTTGATCATTGTACGATAAATAAAATTTTTTAAAATTAGTTTTAAAATTATATATAAAATAAATTTTTATTTTATTTAGTAATATTTTATTTCTTTCAGAAAATCATTATATTATTATTATTATTATTATATAATTGATATTTTTCACGAGAAACGATATGTATATGTTTCTGACGGAAATATTATGGCTAGATTAATAAGATGCATATATATATTATGAAATTATCAATGATAATTTTTTTTTAAAATTCGATGTTGAAAGGATAATTTTTGTGGCGTTCGGTACTGAAAAAAAAGGAAAAAAAAAAAAAAGAAATATAAAAATTTGTGACTGTGGAGGTAAGTGAAACCTTTTTTTTTTTTTTGTTGTAATATTTACAAAATAATAATGATGAATTTTTAATACTTACCCAGGTACTTTATAAATTCTTTCATTTTTATTTATCGAATCTATTTCTGCCATTTCTTCTGGAGTCAAAGTAAAATCAAATACGGATAAATTTTCCAAAAGCCTTTTTGGACTTGAAGTTTTTGGAATGACAATCGTACCACATTGTATCTGTCAAAAAAGAAAAAAAGAAAAAAAAAAGAAGAAAAAAATTTAATTTTAAAACTTTTTGAAATCTAAGGGGGAAAGAAAAAGAAACAGAAAGAGAAAGTCGTTACCAAATATCTGAGAGAAATTTGAGCCGTGGTTTTGTTTTTTTCTCTTGCTATTTTAACCATAATTGGATTTTCCAACATAGGTTTCGATTCGGGTTTGGCTGCGGAAGGCATGCCTCCCAAGGGACCGTAACTCGTTATGATAATGTCTCTGTTATGACAGAATTCTATTAATTTTTTCTGATTTAAATATGGATGAGCTTCTATTTGATTTGTGACAGGTTTTATTTTAGCGGATTCTAAAAGTCTTTCTATTTGTACGGAATTGAAATTGGATACTCCGATGGATTTCGTCAATCCTAATTCCACGCATTTTTCCATTTCTTTCCAGGTAGTAACATAATCATCATCGGTTATTATTAAATTCCCCTTTAAATCACGGGGAAAATATTCTTTTATGGACTGAAATTACAACATTTAATTACAAAATTTAATTTAATTTAATTTAATTATGTAATTTTTTTTTTTTTTTTTAAATACTCACTAGGAGTTCCTGTAAATTATTAAAAGGTGTCGGCGTAGGATTATCAGGATTATCGACTGCCTAAAAATAAAAAATCATTTTTATTATTATTATTATTAATTATTATTATTATTAACATATTTTAATTTAATAATATTTACTTTAAAGACAAACGGCCAATGTATTAAAAATAAATCAAGATAATCAAGACCCAAATTTGATAAACTTTTTCGACAAGCTTTGACGACCAAATCCGGATGAGCATATGAACACCAGAGCTTAAAAAAATTTGACGAAACATAATTTTTTATTAATAAATTACAAAAAAAAAAAAAAAAAAAAGGTAACTAATATCAAATCTTATGTATTATTATTATTATTATTATTACTACTATTTTTACCTTGGTTGTTATAAACAAATCTTCTCTTTTTACGGTACCATCTGCTATTTTTTGCCGAATTGCGTCTCCTATAACTTTTTCGCTGTTGTACAACCATGCTGTATCGAAATGTCTGTATCCTAAATCTATGGCTTTTTTAATAAATTCTGTTTTTTCATCACCGTGTAACTGTAAGTAAATTTATTTAATTTTTTAAATTAAAATTTTCTGTTTATGACAAAAAAAAAAAAAAAAAAAACAAATTACCCCCTTTAATAACTAAGATTTGTAAAACAATCAAATAAAATAATTTTATGTATATATATATATATATGTAAAATTTAAATATCTATTGAAGGATCGATTAAATTATATTAAATTATAATAATTCAGCAACAGGAGCAAAATAACAGAAAATATTATTGAATTTCAATCTTTTATTTTTTTTTTTTTTTTTATAATTTAAATAATTATTATTTATTAACATGGACATGTTTTTTTTTTTTTTTTTTACAAGTTTTAACCTATTTTGTTTATTTTAACAAAAGTAAACACGATAAATAAGTAAACAATAAATTATTAACATGGCTGACGTTAATTGTTTTTTATTTTGAACGTTTTTTAAATTAAAAATTTTGTTATTTTTTTTTTTTTTTGTTTAACGAGACGTAAAGTTGAGGAATTTTTTTTTTTTTAATAAAAAAATGTTTTAATGATGGAAAACAAATAATAATCGATTTGTGTGATATCAAATTGTAAATAATAATAATAATAATAATAATAATAATGAGTGATTTAATGAAAAGTAATATTGTTGTTTGAATATAGTTATTGAAATTCAACACGTTGAAAAAATGAATTAAAAATTACATAGCAATAACAATTTTTTTTTTTTTTTTAAAAAGAAGTTTACGTACCTGCCAGGTTCCCAAACCAACAATCGGTATTTGTTGACCATTATTTAATGTTGTGGTTGGAGATAATAAGGAAGGCATTTTATATTACTAATAATAAAAAAAAAAAAAAAACCGTCTTGCACTCGTCACTACTTCACGACAACTAAAATCTACAAAGATATTTTCTATAAATAAATTATTATTATTATTATTATTATTTTTACTATTATTTTTTTTATAGATATTAATTAGAATTATAAAAGAAACGAAATATTGCCATCACGTGTGTTTTGTTTACCTTATTCTTTTTTTTTGCTGTAAAAAAAAAAAAAAAAAAATTTCTTTTTTTTTTTTTTTTACTTTACTTTACTTTTTAAAAACGATGTACAAAAAGAGGCCCTTGAAGGAAATTATTTAATTTTGACCGTGAGTTGGATTAATTTTTTTAACCGACTTGTTGCCCTTGATTTCTCATCGTTGGTTAACAATTTTTTTTTTTTTTTTTTTCAAACAAAAGTTTGATCAAAGTTCAAAATAAACTTGTTATGATTTTTTTTTTACTCAAATCCTATTTTACATCATATAAATTTAAGTCATGACTAAACTCTCTATATTATTATTATTATGGGAAAAATATTTTTTTTTTTTTGCTTGGGGGGGATACTGCCTACGTTATTTTTTTTATAACGTAAATAATTTACAATAAATATAATTTTATGATTTTATCGATATAAAACGATCTTGAGCAAATATTTACAGAAAAAAAAATATTTTTACACTTGAATTGCTTTTTTTTTTTTTTTTTTAAAAAAATTCATTTGGAGGACAGACAAACAAACAAACAAACAAACAAACAAATAAATAAACAAATTATAAAAAATTATGATAAAGTTTTTTTCTTAGCAAAAAAAAAAAAAAAAAAAAAACTTTTAATATATATATATATATATATATATATATATATATATATATATATATAAATATTTAAATTACTTCAAAATATTATCATTTTAAAATTTGATAAAATTTAATATAATAATAAATAATAATAATAATAATTATTTACCTCTTCGTTTAAATTATTTAAAACTTTTTTTTTTTTTTTTTTTTTAATACG